TAGTTCTTTGTCTTTAGCTTTCTAGCATTCAGTCAAGACAATGTCTTCCAAAACTATTTAGGTTAGTTCCTTTCTTCCCCAGCCCTTTGAGGGTGTTTGTATTATACATTTATAAAACAAGTTTACCTGTTAGTGTTTGTATTCTCTTTGGCTTTTCCCCCCACCCCACCCCACCCCACATCTTGATTGGTTTTGTTTACCTAGTTTTTAGCATATGTGAAATAGTACTATGGTTTGGAGAGTCAAAGTCTTTATTACATAACAGAAGGTTCTCCTCAAACCTACCACCCCAATCCCATTTCCCCTTTCTTTCCACTCTTCTCATCACTCCCATAGATAACTGGTCTCTTTAGTTTCTAGTTTATCCTTCCTGTTTTCTTTTGAAAAAGAAAAAAAAAAGATGAGATATAAGTGTATTTTCTTATACCAAGAGTAGCATACTATAGATAGTCTTTGTGCTTCCCCCCTCCCCAAAACTTAACAGGATGTCCATATCAGGTCATTAGAGATCTTCCTCACTTTTTTTAAAGCTTCCAAGTCTCCAGTTTGTGGATGTACCATAGAAGACTCAAGTACTCTCCTACCTACAGGCAATTAGGTTGTTTCTAATATTTCACAATTACCCACAATACTGTAAAGAACCGTTTATATAAGTATTTTTATATTGCCTGAGCTGTATCTTCAGATACAAGATGATGGATAGCTGAGTCAGTAAGTTAACTGCATATGTATATATGGTAATTATAACCTACATTAAAAAATCATGTTTTGAACTTTAATAATTTTTAAGAGTAAAAGGGGGCTTCTACAACCAAAAAATCTCAGACAAGTTAATATACATAACACAAAAGTACAAACAGAATACAATGGAATGTCAATGTCCTACATTAAGAAAGGGCACTCCTGGGGCGCCTGGGTGGCGCAGTCGGTTAAGCGTCCGACTTCAGCCAGGTCACGATCTCGCGGTCCGTGAGTTCGAGCCCCGCATCAGGCTCTGGGCTGATGGCTCAGAGCCTGGAGCCTGTTTCCGATTCTGTGTCTCCCTCTCTCTCTGCTCCTCCCCCGTTCATGCTCTGTCTCTCTCTGTCCCAAAAATAAATAAACGTTGGAAAAAAAAAAAAAAAAAAAAAAAAAAAAAGAAAGGGCACTCGTATCTAAGGCCATGATAAACAATGCCAAGGTTTACAGTCTGCAGGATTCCTAGGTTCTCTCCACTTTCAGGTATCATTTTCACTTCATATGTAAGGAATTTGTTTAATCTTTTTAGAACATTTTTAATGTGTTGAACCAAAAACGAGGAGTAAAGTAACAACTTATTTCCAAACTCACGTTCTGCCAAAAAGGAATACTTTTAGTTCCATCTGAATATTCAAAAAATGGAAAACTGAAAGAAATAAAGTTATCTTTTCAAAACACTTTTAAGATAAAACACGGGATTTTGAATTAAAAAAAAACAGTACAGCAAGGACACCAAATGTGCAAATGCTACGCTCAACTATCATGAATAAACCTCACATGTGATGCTGAACAAAAGTCACAGAATAAATATGATGACTCATTTACATAAAATAAAAATATGCAAAACTAACCTATACTTATTTAATATATACACAGGTTGCAAACAAAAGCAAAGAACAATAAAAGCCAAAATAATAATTTCCTCTAGAGGAAGGGAGGAAAAAATGATCAGGAAGGAATATACATATGATTTCTGGGATGCCAGTAATCTTCTAATTTCTTGAGATGATCACTTTACATGTATTATTTACATTGTGTGTATATGTGTATTTTATGTACTTCTTCTAACGTATTTAATCTTGCAGAATAATGAAAGACAAATTTAAAAAGTAATATCACTGCTTTGTGGCAAACTGTAACTTCTACTAGGAAGAGTGAAGACACCAATGAACTACCATAACTGGCAGTCACTGAATAACAAAAAGTGAAAATTAACCTTGTTGTCTTAAACCAGGTTTTAATCTTCACAAACAAAAGAAAACATACTATGTATTTACTAGTATCATCAGTAGAATTAAACTTTGGAAGGCAAGGTGACACCTGATAAAGATTATTCATTATTCATCAAATCTGAAAAAATTAAATATACCATATTTTTAACATGATAAAGAATATACTTTAATCCTAGAATTATTATGCCTATAGTGGAAATACTAAAATAATTCCTTCCCTCTCATTTCCTATTTCACAAAAACATCAACAGATGAACCCAAATATATATGCAGAAATTTAAAACACACAAAAAAATTCAGGTATTAGAACTATTTTTAATACAAGTCCAAAATCAATTGCTTTTCTACTATTATACTTTCATGAATTCTGATTAGCCATTTCTCCAAGATCACTAGCTTTTTTTAGTGGAGATTCATATTTAGAGATCACAATCTGGGTGCTAGGGATGTTGACTACCACTGGTTGTCATTTGCAACAACATGGTTAAGAAGTGAGTGGCAGAGCTAGTTAGTACAAGAGCTGAGATCACATGGAAAATATCCTAGTTGTAACCCTATACTCTTTTCACTATATTTAAATGAACTACATCCATGTGTATCTTGCATATGGCCATGAGCTATCATTTGTCATTATTTTTATATCCATCACTTAGTGAGACACCTTGGAAAAGTCATTCATCCACTCTAAACTAGTTTTCTATGTAATATATAAAATAAATAATCTGATGTCCTTATTTCTCAAATCATACAAAGAGTAAATAGGAGATTACATGTGAAGGCTCTTTTGATAATAACATAAAAACTGACAAAAGATTAAAAGGGCATCTTTCGGTTTACGCAGACAGACTGGTAACAGAAAACATTAAAGGGGTGGAGGACAGAAGACAAATGAAAAAATTAAGGAGGTAACATAAATAAGGGCCTGTCTTATAAATTAAATATTTTCAGTAATTAAAAACATTGTGATACTAGTTCAACAAAGGAGGCTGAATGAAATCCTAGAAATAGCCTAATCGTTCAATGAAATGAGCAATGAAATAATTTCCTATCAATGATCTAGTTAAATTGTTAGCAATGAAGAAAAATAAGACCCTCACCACACAAAATATCCTAAAATAATTTAAATTAAGAAGGTAAAAAATGGAAGTCCAGAGCAACTTAAAAATATTTATAGGCAAATATTTATATGTTCTCAAAACAGGGATAAACAAACCAAAAAAATTCTTGGGGAAAAGGCCAACACGGAAGAGAGATAGCATTTGATTTATATTAACAAATGAAAATTTAAGACATGAATAAATACTTAGCCTCACTGGTAATCAAACAAATGTAAATTAAAACAAAAATTAAATATTTTCCGGGGCGCCTGAGTGGCTCAGTCGGTTAAGCGTCTGACTTCGGCTCAGGTCATGATCTCACGGTTCATGGGTTCGAGCCCCACATCGGGCTCTGTGCTGACAGCTGGGAGCCTGAAGCCTGCTTCGGATTCTGTGTTTCCCTCTCTCTCTGCCCCTCCCCGACTCGCGTGCTGTTTCCCTCTGTCTCAAAAATAAATAAACATTCAAAAAAAATTGTTTTTAAATTAAATATTCTCCATCCATCAGACTGGCACTTTAAAAAAAGGGAGTGGGGGGCACCTACATGGCTCAGTCAGTTAAGCGTCCAACTTCGGCTCAGGTCATGATCTTGCCATTCCTGAGTTCGAGCCTCATGTCAGACTCTGTGCTGACAGCTCAGAGCCTGGAGCCTGTTTCAGATTCTGTGTCTCCCTCTTTCTCTGCCCCTCCCCTGCTCGCACTCTGTCTCTCTCTCTCTCTCTCTTAAAAATAAATAAACATTAAACAAACAAAAAAACTTTTTAAAAAGGAGGAAGAAAATTGATAATATCAACTACTGTTGGCAACAGTGAGGGAAAACCGGTACGCTGCTTCTATCAAAAGGTGCTGCATTTGAAAAGATGTGTATTGTTTCTATAAGAACCATGCACTGTATAATAAAATTTATATAAAACAGGAATGAAAAAAGAAATTAAAAAGTCAGATTTTTGTGTCTGAAATGGATCTGTTGTGAAGTCTAAAAATGTCCCACAAATCTCTTCAGTAAAGATTGCATGATAATGCAATTGTGGCATAAATACTCTCTCAAACCAAATTAAAAGTTTCAACGAGAGAAAAACAAAGTGGTGGCAGCTTAGCAGCATTAGCAGATATGCTTCCCTAAAATTTAAACTTCATTCTGACAGGTTACAGATCCAGAAAGTCTCAGGTAAAATCATGGCTGAGCCACTTACAGAGCTGTGTGCATTCAGGTAAATAATTCAATTTCTCGGAGTCACTTTCTTACCTGTAAAACGTGCACAAAACCACCTGCCCCACAAGATCAATGTCAAGGTTAGAAATAATGAATGACCAAAGGCCTGAGTTCAAGTAATGGGCACATAACAGGAACTTACCATATCGTCACTAGTACTGTTATGGAGTTTAGTTACACCTAATTTTTGAAAAATTATCACTCCACTGAAGTGAAGAAGTATAGTTTATACATCCTGTATGACTGTGAAATATGCTCTCTAAAGTGAATATTTAAAAAGGAGGGAAAGAAAGAGAGAAAGGAAAAAGCAGAGAGAATAAAGGTAAAAGAAGAATAAAAAAACAGAATGAAGTTAAACAGACTTAGTTAACCAAGATTAGCAATGTACTCTAATGAAGGAAAATGGCAAATAGTAATACTGACCACCCTGAAGCTTAAGAGAACCCACTCATTAAACTGACGTTGAACTTACCAATTAAATGCGATCAACTTGAAGATGAACTTTCTCCTATGCTGAGGTGTCCTCACAAAGCTGTGGAATAAAACTTGCCTTTTCTATTTAAAGCCATTCCTTTATTGCTAAACAGTTGGTCTCAGAGGAAGGCAGCAAGCAGGGTTAGAAAGAGAAAAAAGAGGAGGATAAAGATGAAGAGAAAAACAACATGCAATCATGGATCAATCTCTTCACCCGATCCTTTCAGATTCTCCTCAGGTTCTAACCTGTAGTTGTTGGGAGCTATCATTGAGGTTATCCTCCCTCCGTCGAGCCTCCTCAAGCATCTGCGCACTCTTCTTCTTTTCCACCTGTTCCTTGTGCTTCAGATTTGCTACCTTCTTATTCTGGTCTTTCACTTGCCTATTGATAAGGGAGGAGAAAAATCAAGCTTTTCATATATCTGCATAAAAAAGAATATTTTTATTTAGAAATATATAGCACTTATGCCAAAAACTGGCTGAAAACCAACAAAGAATTTCTGCTGCAAAATTTTTCTAACAATTCAAAATTCCTTCCTACCAATGGAAACAAATTGGTAACAATGGTGTTTCAGAAACATGTGTTCAAGCACGTACTTTATGAAGCACAAAATTATAAAACAAAAGAAAGACATAGGATAGTCTGAAATAGCAGAAGAAAAGAAACCAATTCAGAGATTTATGTTGGAAATAGGGAAAGGCTACTGACATCAATGTTATGAAATATTTTCTGTTTTTTATTTGCATATCTATTACTGATTTTTGACTTGCGATTAACATTAGGTTTCTACATAACATCTTATGCATATATCAGCCTATATTAAGTTGATGGTCACTTAAGCTTGAACCCGTTCTTTACTGATAGAGAATTTAAAACAATGGACAAAAAGATACGCACTGGACTTGAGAAAAGAGAGTAAGACCTCAGTGAGACCCTTAACAGAGAGATAGGAAACATAAAAAACCAATCAGATATGAACTCTGTAAATGAAATTAAAAATACACTATATGAAATAGACTGGAGGAAGCAGAACACCGGATCAGTGACCTGGAGGACAGAGTAATGGAAAACAATCAAGCTGAATAGGAGAGAGGAAAAAAATAATAGTAACAAATGCAAAGAGACTTAGGGAACTCATTGACACCATCAAGTGTAGTAACATTGGAAATATAGGAATCTCAGAAAGAAGTGAGAGAGAAAAGAGGGTAGAAAATTTATTTGGAGAAATAATAGCTGAAAGCTTCCCTATATGAGGAAGGAAATGGAAATCCAGATCCAGAAAGCCCACAGAAGTCCACAACAAAATCAACCCAAGGAGGTCCACACAAAGATACACAGTAATTAAAATGGTGAGGAGTGACAGAGAATTTTAAAAGCAGCCAGAGAGAAGAAAACAGTCATATACAAGGGGACACATTAGGCTATCAGCTGATTTTTCAGCAGAAACTTTGCAGGCTAGAAGGGAGTGGCATGATATATTCAAAGTGCTAAAGGAAAAAAACCTGCAGCCAAGAATACTCTATCCAGAAAGGATGGCTCCCCAGAGCTGATTAATACAACAAACAGCTGCTGGGTGCCCCTTGTGCGTTTTCCTGTGTGCTATCTCACCTCACTTCACCATACACCTGTGAAGTGGGCACTATGTTATTTCTATTTTAGAAATGAGGGGCGCCTGGGTGGCTCAGTCAGGGGTCCAACTCTTGACCTCAGCTCAGGAGATGATTTCACAGTTCCTGAAATCAAGCCCCACATTGGGCTCTGCACTAACAACGCAGAGCCTGCTTGAGATTAGCACTCTCCCTCTGTCTCTCTGCCCCTTCCCCACTCATATGTGTGCACACTCTCTCTCCCTCAAAATAAATAAAAACACTTAAAAAATAGTAAAAATAGAAAATTTATTCAAAATCAAACAGTAAGTTAGTCACATAGATGGTAAAATAAAAGGTCTGATGGAAGTGCACACTAATAGGCTATGCTAAGGTCACATTTCAGATCTGTACTTTCTGCCATCTTGAATATCCACAGAAATATTTAGCCACAGAGAATAAAAACAGATACCAGTAAAAGAAATAAAAATGCAAATCATGTTTATATTTGATTCTCCTCACTATATAATTTTCTATGCTAATGTTTTGATTTTTTTAAATCTGATATCAATTATATCCTAATGGAAAAAAACAGATTGGGACCTTTGCATTAGAAAAGACCAAAAAATGAAGCAAGATTTTTTCATGAATCAAATTGCTCTTTCTCAAAATTAAACTTCTCATAACATTAGTTTACTGATACAAATATTTGCTGTTTTTAGAGTGAAAAAAATTTTAGATGGTATATAAATTCTTTTCACCCTGCATCTGTGGATTATTCCAGATGGTGCTAGCAACCACTAAAGCCATAGCAGTAACCTGGTTATTTGGAGCATTATGACACATGGAGGAAGAAACCTAATTAAAATCACCTGTGTATTTTTTGGTTAGCGGGCCAACCTTAAAGTCTCAATTGTTGATCCAATCAAAACCCTTTTCATTCTTCAGTACTTTTTATCGTTATTATTATCTGAGAATGAGTGGTTTATTTTCATCCTGACTTTACCCGCAAGCCATAGAACTAGGTCAGGGTGTTTTTAGTGGTGTTTCAGAAAAGAGAATAAAAAATCCCACTGCCCCTATCCTATCCCAATAATCATTCCAATCCAACTTGTAGTATGCATTTAAAAACCAAAACTGTTTGGGGGTGCCTGGGTGGCTCAGTCAGTTAAGCGACTGACTTTGGCTCAGATCATGATCTCTCAGTTCATGAGTTTGAAACCCCCCCCCCGGCAGGCTCTGTGCTGACAGCTCAGAGCCTAGAGCCTGGAGCCTGCTTTGGATTCTGTGTCTCCCTCTAACTCTGCCCCTCCCCCACCCTCACTCTGTCTCTCTCAAAAATAATAAAAAAAAATTTTTTTTAATGTTTGTGGCACCTGGGTGACTCAGTAGGTTAAGTTCCAACTTCAGTTCTTCAGTTCAGTTCATGAACTCACTGTTCGTGGGTTCAAGCCCCACATCAGGCTCTGTGCTGACAGCTCAGAGCCTGGAGCCTGCTTTGAATTCTGTCTCCCTCTCTCTCTCTGCCCCTCCCCAGTTCATGCTCTCTCTCTCTCTTTCAAAAATAAATAAACTTAAAAAAAAAAAAAAGATAATTTTAATCTTCAAAATATCGGTCATAGGATTTTTTTAATGATCATCTCCATCAACTCCAAAAAGACACGACAAAATACTAAGTAATAAATATAGAATACCAAGCTGAATACAAAGCATGATCCTAAACATATGTGTGCATACACACATACATAACTGAAAAAATTAAAAAGGAAAAACTTAGGATGTTTTTAATGTTTCTTTTAATGGTATTCTGTAGTTTCTAAATTTTTTAAAATAGACAAAATACTTTTTAAAAACATTTTAAAATTATGTTTTTAAAAATGAGATGTGGTTTTACCTCAAAATAGGATCTTCATCTATATCAGACTAACAGAAAGTAGTCCAGTATGGCACATTTAAGTTTCCCTTATTTTTTTTGGTCTTTAATTTTCCACTTCCAACTCCATTTTCTTTTCATGTTTTCAATTTCTTTTCTTTAACTTAGTTTTCTGGCTTTAGCTCTACATTTTCATTCTATAGACTAAAGGATAATTAAATAGGAAAATAAAATGATTTTATCTAATAAGTCAGGCAACCAAGAAAAGTATAGAAAATTTTAAGAGTATTAAATCAATATATCTCCCATTGTTTCTCCTACCCCACCTTCTTGTATAATGTTTACGTGCAAATGCAACACAAATATATGGAAAGTTCTGAATTCACAAATTAACTAGAGTGGATGAATACAACCAACTTTCTTGTCTAATATCCTTGTCAACACTGTTTCTTGGGCAAAGAACACAAACAGTATTATCACAACATATGTGATAAGTAAAAGGAAAGATGTAACTTGAGGAATTGTTTGGGAATAAATATTCTGAGACATAATAGAATCTGTGAAACATGAAATTACTTTCTCTTATAAATAGATCAATATGTAATTTGATTTAAATCTGGGTAGACAAGAAAACCCAAATATGTTAGTAAACCCATACCTTAAACAGAAAGAAAAGGATTTAAATGGCTTAGTATAGATTTTTTTTTTTAACTCTATTAGACTGCTATTAAGCCTGAATTAATTAACTGGGGTTAAATTCAAAGTGAACTTATATCCTTTAATATCCTTCAAGCAAGAAAAGGAGAAAGGAGATTCAGAAATGAATTAATCCTTTAAAATGTGATTCTCGGGGCGCCTGGGTGGCGCAGTCGGTTAAGCGTCCGACTTCAGCCAGGTCACGATCTCGCGGTCTGTGAGTTCAAGCCCCGCGTCAGGCTCTGGGCTGATGGCTCAGAGCCTGGAGCCTGTTTCCGATTCTGTGTCTCCCTCTCTCTCTGCCCCTCCCCCATTCATGCTCTGTCTCTCTCTGTCCCAAAAATAAATAAAAACGTTGAAAAAAAAAAATTAAAAAAAAAATAAAAATAAAAATAAAAAAATAAAATGTGATTCTCAATTGAGGAGTTCCCAACTATTATAATAAATAATGAAATAATGAATGAATGAATGAATGAATGAATAATGAATGAATTTAACTCTCTCCATTCTCACACAGATATGAATAAATTAATGTGTAAGAAGAGAAAAATGCAAAAATGGAAAAGAAGAGATTTATCTCTACTGGTCTCTATCACAAGAAGTTTTATAAGATGTGATCTACCACCTTGCTATTCAAAGTATGATCCATGAACATACATCATCAGCATCACTTGGGAGCTTGTTAAAAATACAGAATTCTCAGGCTCACACTAGATCTACTAAATCTGCCCCTATTTACTTTTTTACTATTCCCTCAGCCTCTGTCTCTTAAAATCCAAACTCAAACTTAGGTCATAACTACTATTGGCTCTCCTCAGCTCCCACAGTCATTTTAACTAAATATATCTTAGGACATGTTAGTTTGTTCCTCATATTAGTGTAATCCACATGTATATCTCATTATACCTATGAAAATGCCTTCCTAGGGGCACCTGGCTGGCTCAGTCAGTAGAGCACACGACTCTTGATCTTGGGGCTGTAAGTTCGAGACCCACATTGGGTACAGAGATTCTTAAAAATAAAAACACCCAAGGAAGGTTGGAAGGTTGGAAGGATGGAAGGATGGAAGGAAGGAAGGAAGGAAGGAAGGAAGGAAGGGAGGAAGGAAGGAGAGAAAATGCCTTCCTAGAGGTCATGGTCCATGTCTGATATATTTTCATAACTCACAACGCATAGCATAGTTCCTCCTTGTGTGTAGATACTCATTACATATTTGTTAAACACAT